ATCAAGAACATGGAATACGAGCAAGAATTGTTAAAAGTGAGTATCACACTTACTTAAATGTCTTCATTGTAATGTGCTATATGAATACTTTTCGATAAAATATATTATTTAATCAATACCCTTAGTATAGACCAAAAAGAACTAGTTGCGGAAATAACACTAAAATTTAAGAAGTTGTTTGATCTTTTTTTCGCATCTTGGCCATATTGGTAGGACCTAAGCTCGGATTTTCTGAGAAATACAGATTTAGGTAAGGAGTCAATAAGGAGGTTGACGAATTTTGTGTACATATTTTACTTTAAAATAGTAAACTGTACGAACAAACACAGGGCTTAACTATGGGATTATGCTTGTTCCCAATTTTAAATAATAACTAAGTGACTCAATTAGAAAGTCGCCTAATACAATAAAGACTTTTGGCTCCTAAATTATCGGTTAGGTACATTTGTGACTAATTTGCCGTATGGCAGCATGGCAAAGAGGGCCTAGGAGAATTCCTAACGTTGATGAATGGAACTGATTAGAATATCAAGTTCACCATGGAACTAGAAAGGATGTTCATTTACCTTTTATAGATGTCCTAATTAGCAAAGAGTAAAGCAAACTGGGTAAGAATATGTATAAGAAATTTTCAAGTGCAGGGTTCATTTTAAATTTCTTTTCAAAGCATACTTATGGGGTTAAAATGGGAGTTATAAAATCCATGATAACAAGGAGTCTACGGATTGCAGGTGTTGAAAATCGAGAGCAGCAACTGAGGAAATTAAAGAAAGTTTTAGCTGAGAATAATTAAGAATTGCTTTAAAATACTCGCCAACTTTTAGGGAAATTTCGGCCCAACTTTCCAAGCCAGGCTGCTATAAGGTTTTGTGTTCATGTGGCAGAGTCTATGTGAGGGAGATCTTTTGACCACATATAAGATGCTATCTTAACATAAAACAGCCTGCAACGATTTTTAGGACAAAACTCTGGACTAGGCGACCACAGCCCGCACAGGCCACCTAATAGACTGGTCTAATGCCAAACCCTTAGCTGAATATGGATACTATACAAGAGGAAAATTAGGGAATCTATAGAGACAAACAAAACAGCCAACACTCTGAAGGAGTCTCACGAGCATACATGCCCACAATACATGCAATGAAACGCAATGGCATCCGGCCCCATAGCAGGATCAAACAAAAAAAGATAAGTGTTGTAGAAGAGGATGCGTCTACTCGCTCACAAATGCATCCATTTCACGCTTCAATTGCAGCCACTTTATACGTCAACCTCAGCCACTTTACTTTTCAACAGCATGTGGGAAAACCACAGGATATATGATCAAATCATGAGATATCTCACTAAGCGGATCCTTTTAAACTATAAAAGGTAGGTAGGATTGCAGCCGACTACCTGTCTTTCCCTCGTATTTTGGTGAATTATCGTAAAGCATGGTGTCCTGCTCTGACGATGACCATCACATGACGGACGAAAGCTCCACAAGGCCTCTTTAAGCGAAATGCTAGTTTCTCCAACATTTAGAAGGGTATCGCTTGGGAGAGAATGCATCCCTAGGCACGCCAGCAGGGTCTTAACGTGGTAAATATAAGAAAGCCCCGTCTCTGTGACCTTAGCCTGTTCGATCAGGGTTCTTCAAAGGAGATCCAATAAAATGAGTTTATATTGCATTAACGATAAAATGATAAGTGGCATTAAGTGTCATTTAATATATTCGATCAAATAAACTTTTCTTGCTAGGAGCAGTGTCGGGTTTTTGAATTGGCTCTTGCTCATACGAACAAGCCCTTGTCTATTGCTGAAGAATGCCTTCTTCATCGCGATAAACGGATTGGCATTGATCTTGTCAAGGATGCTGTGGAGCGCGCTTTGATAAAGGTAAGTCAACATTAGCTTTAGGCCAACTTAACGTTCAAGCTTATATATGCATTTTGAATGAGTAAATAATTAATCTGAAGATTCATACGAAGAATTTTCACCGACTAGAATAGTTAAATGGCTGCCGACCGTTTTTAATACTATAGTAATACGATTTCTTTTTCCATTTGTCATGGGCACTATCACATCCCGATAACGTGATTTGTACGTCCATTACTTTCGATCATCTTCTTTACCAATAAATTGGTCAGTGGCTTCCAGTAAATTTACCTTGCTCATTTAAGTAAGACTGACGGATATTATAGCCTCTTTTTAATAGGGACGTACATATACTTTGCGTATGTGGCCGAAGATGTTAATCCTGATCCTATTTTAAACTCTAAGTGCAAATACCCATAGACTTTATAGATCAAAAGCATTCAATTAAGTAAAGCCGTATGGTTCAGTACAATAAGTGCACTACGATCTCATTATCTCTTATATGCTCAGAATATCTTAAATATATTGAATGCATAGGTGAACAAAACTTGGCTAGCTGTTTGATTTCATTATCGAGCAATTAACAAATAAAATAACGATTAAGAAGATTCAAATGCTGTAAATAGCATCTCTAACAAGGCTAGGATGCATTATAAAACTTCAGCAAACATGCCTCTACAGGCCCAAACAAGTATTTTCTGCAAGTGAAGCTCGGTTAAGCCCTCAGAAAAAAGAATACAACTAACTTGCAAGTGTGTAGTTAAGGGCACAATATCTAAAATTAAATTTTCTCGCTGTCTCACTAAGGAAAATGCCGATAAAATTAAAATAAAAGTAATGTATAAGCTCCAATTTCTTTGAAGGGCAACCTATCATCACGGATTTTGCTCATAGTTCCACTTATTCTATCCAC